AATGGATATGAAGTAAACACCATTGTCCCCGTCTCCAACGTTGCATCTGTCGATATTTATAAAGAGTTGTCTCAGTTAAATCCTCACAAGTTCTGCGGACCCGATGGAGTTTCACCCACTGTCCTGAAAGAACGTGCTACCTTCCTCTCCCCTGTACTGTGTGCACTTTTCAATGGCTGCATTTTGCAGCAACGTGTACCCGACTGTTGGAGACTAGCTACTATCACCCCTGTGCCTAAGAAAGAATCCTCAAAATTCCTGCACCTCAGTTGTCCTGAAGGTGTTTGAGCGGCTCCTTCTTAAGACCATTTCCACACAATTCAATGTTGTTGACCCTAACCAGTATGCATATACCCATTCCCGTGGTACCCTGGATGTCCTTGCTTATCTATCCCACTATGTTTTATCTAACCTGGATAAGAAAAGTAAGGCTGTCCGCATATGTTTTCTTGACTATAGTGATGCTTTCAACACGATTAATCGACAAACTTTGTTAAATACCCTCTCTTCGGGCGGAGTTCAACCTTCTACGATTGAACTCTTGGCCAACAATTTTCAAACCGTCAGCAGTTCACACGCTACAAAGGACGTACAACTTCACTGCTGCCCTCCTCAATAGGCGTCTACAAGGCGCCATTTTATCCCCTTTTCTATTTTCTGCCTACATTTCCTCTATGCCTGTAAGCAATTCTTCTCTTCTCGTCAAGTATGCAGATGATATAATATTCGGACTGTCCTACCCCAACTCATCATTACAAACGACTCTGCAAGAAGATGTGACCGGATTAGTTAAAATAATCACAACAAAGAAACCTCTGCATGAACCCCCAAAAATGTAGTGACGTAATTTTTTTCTCTTCTGAAAGGGCAAAAGTTTGATGAATTATCAAACGACAGCTCCCTTTTATCTATCCTGAGTGAGCAGATGGTACGAAAACCGATTGTCAAATGACTGGGTGTTATTTTTAATCATAATCGTAACCATAAGGCGTTTTGTTTTTGCGTGAGTTTTGCCTCATTGGATTTATGGGTCCCCTGTTATCTTCCCTGGTCTTTTGAACAAGGACCTCAAACTCATTTACCGATCCCTCAGATTTCTCTCCGTTTTTAGTCTCATATCACGAGAAAATCTAGTAGAGTTTGTGGTGACACATCACTTCAAGTCCTGTCAAACATTCCCTAATAAGATTTTATCTGATATCTCCCATCCTCTTTATTCCTCTCTTAGTTACTGCCTTTCTCACTCATCCACCCGTTCCACTCACAAACTCATAAAGACTCGCACTGAAGCTTACAGGCGGTCTGTTGTTCCTTATCTCACCAGATTTCTAACAAACCAAGACCTCGTTACGGGAAATCTGCGTCAAACACTACACTAAATCCCTCATGAACACCCAGGTGTGCCACTCATTTTGGATGTTGATGTCCCTTTTCACATCCTTTTAACTGCTGTATCATACTATTGTGTTTTACGTATTTTTTGACACTCTATGGTTATGTGGTTTGCTGAATATCCACCTCTCGGGGTGTATAAAGCCACTCCTTGACTTGAAAATGGTAAAATACCTTGGCATCGCATTATCACAGTTTATCATGATCACCATATCTTCAAAACACATTCTGTAAATTTAGAAAGCTTCCATATTTCTCATTCCTATTGAGCATACTTTCTGTCCTCACAAGATGATTGTTAGGTTTTTGAATACATGCGTGCTCCCCAGTGATTTTTCCCGGCATGCTGAATTAAGACTTTTATTTACTGACGAGATCTTTGAAACACATCTCTAAATGCCGTGGCATCCTCAGGGATAAACTCGCGGATTCTATCATAGACATACACTTACAAGCATGTGAAAATTTCACCGCCAAAATACTCTCAAACACTCACTACACACTCATTACACAACCAATTTTCAAAAGCTATATCCACATCATCCACACGCTCAAGATTTAAACTTTTATTTACTCGTACCTCTGCTTATCGTAATTCTGTTCTGCCATATCTAGCACGTCTACTTATAGACAAAGAGAAAATTTCCGCAGAATTGCACAAATTCTTGCTTCATTGACAATCACGATCTACTGCTTTCAGTTTCATTATTTAATGATTTTGTACATTCGAATCCACAAATATGGTGTGTAAATGCTGAAAATTCATCTATCCGTGTGCATAAAGCTACTACTGACTAGACTTGACTTATTGTTGTGTTGTGTGTTGTAGTTGTTGTCATTGCTACTGCTGTTGTTCATAATGGTCCAGCATCATGAACTGATTTGTTGACAGATGACGGGTTACGCAAATTCCGTATCATTACACATCTGTTAAGTGGTGACATTCAGGTAAAATCAAACCAGACTAACAGACACGATAAACAGTTTATATACGTCATGATGGAAACGTTTGTACAAAATAAAGATTTCAGTCGCTACTACTCAAATTCGAGTTCCAATAATCTGCGATGATGAGTACCAGTGATAAAAATTTAAAAAAAACAACGTGCAGTACCTCCAGTAATTTAAGAGTAAGGCCATGAACCTCTGATCCGTTGTGTGCGCCAAAAATTAGGATTTTTTCTAAGAAGTGAGATCGAATTGCAAACAACGTTATTTTTCATATAAATTGATATTTTAGATCGTATACGGGATTGATGAAAGGTACATCGTCCTCGCGATTAATCGACATATCGAAATGAAACAAACAAAATGGGAGAAAGACTGCAAAACATTATTCGGTTGAACCCCTTTCCGAATACCGGATGCTGTGAAAATAGATACCATGGGGCTGCGCAATCCGATTTGTTGAGGATGGCACTTTAAATCTGTTGTTGATGCAAAGCCTTACAACTATGCGTGCGCAAATGCGGTCTAATCAATTGACCTTCAAATTGTATGACTAACTAATCCACTCGTAATCCACTTCAGGTGGGCGTCCTTTAATCGCATGAAAAAAATTCCTGACCTGAGAGGAAATAGTTAAGCGTAAAAATAAGCGACGAAAGGGCCAGGTCAAAGGAAGATTTTCNGCAATGTAAAGAGTAAAAATCAGACAACTATGACAGTATGTTTGTCTATTCTGATACGTACAGGGAAGGGGACAGTGTTTCTGAACACCGTTGATTAACAAACGTTTCGTGATAATTAAATGAAAGTCTGTCTGAGACGCATGCCTGAGGCGATGGTGGGGACCCGGTGGTAACGTCGCCAAATTATCTCCTCGGGGTACGTGTGTGTGCTCGAATTCCACCACCACCATCACCACCACCACCACTAACACCACCATCACCAACAACAACAACACCACCACCACTAACACCATCACCACCAACAACAACAACACCTCCAGCATCAACACCAACACCAGAGACATATTTTTGATCGGATACTTACCTCAAGAACAATATCTGGTTCATAAAGCCAAAGATAGTGCAAACGGTCTCGCACGACCAGTGAAGCTGCCGAGGAATCCCGACGAGCCGGGTCAGGCGGTCCCGAACCGAAGAAACTGATCATAGTCGGAGAATGAAGTCGTAGAATTATGAGCAGTGAACCTCGATAGGCGGTGATTTGATTACCCAAGTAAGCGGCCGGAGCAGACCAGTAGTATCCTCGATCCACCGGACGAAGCGTAACCGAGCTAAGCCACGATTCCACGGTTCGAAGATCAGCACTGATTGGTGGAATGTCCATATCATCATCGACACTGCCAATGGTCGGCACGGAAAAGCCACTATCTGATGGAGCGCTAGGAATGATAATACGCCAATCACTCAGTGTGGATACCTGAAAAAGATAAATTAGAATGAATTTACCTATTGTCTATGATTGATGGTCTTGTACAGTCCGGTTGACGGATAGAATTATTCTTCACGGGACCAAGTTGTTGTTTTCTATATAGCAAATGGATTGCAATTTTGCATTCGTTCACCCTAAATGGACTCCGGTTTGAATACATGAATGGACAACTCTATCATCGTTCGGTCGAATAACGTTTCATTTCAATGGGCCCAAAATTGCCAATTATGGCCTTCCGCAGAGCAATATAAATCATGGAGTTTTGGTACGACTTATTCTACATTGATCAGTAATATGGTGAAGTACATGATTCTCTAATTTTACTCGGTATTACGATATTATTTTTCAAGTAAATTGGATTTCACTTTACCCTCTGCTTTCTGGCTTGTAAAAATACAATTTGACCACGAGATTAAGTAAAATGTGAATCGAAATCAAAGCGCGCTGTCTCGGTTGGCCAACCACTTAACATGAAACGACTGGGGTATTTTAGCCTGAACAATAAGATCAAATTGGGCACAACTCATTGCGTCATGTGTTTGCCCATCTCCAGTTATTATTCCCAGGCCATCACAAGACAACTATGCTGGAGCGGCTCTTTTTTAAAAAAAGCATGCGGACGAGAACACCATAATTGTAACCAGACAGGCATAGAAAACATGAAAACAGTGTAGAACTAAACTGTACATGAGATTAGCAGGTTGAGACTACTGTCACGTGGTTACTTTGGTTCCGATGAGTTTTGAGAACCTACTCCTGCATTCAGTAATTAAATTCATACTCCTCAATCAACCAGCAAATAAATTTTTAATACATATCGTGCTTTCTACGATTGTGAGTTTAAGTTCACTTTGAAAAATATCACTCCTGAGAATTGGTAAAATTAATTTGACAGTAAGATCATGAATCATGTTTGGAAGTGACGAAATTCATCGTCACCAGGATCAACTATTCAATTTGGGGAACACGTACTATGAGCCCTGGAAATTGGACCAGCGAACAAAATATGACCTCAATAAGATTGGCATTTGATTGAACCGGATGGTAGCAAAGTTTCCTACCAATGATATTTGGTGACAATGCTCTATGGTTAGAACCCGTCGGACAGGCCAGTCACAGTAAATTGGACTGCGGACCCTTTGAAATGAAAGGTGTAAATGTTACCGCCAGCACACACACACACACTGAGGCTGTGCAGATTTCATTGTATTTGATCGGTTTAAACAACATGATCACCCGTATGCGGTGCTTTCTTCGGAAAGATTCAACGGCAATGTAAAATCGTCACACACACACGCACACACTCATGCGCGTGCGCATGCAACTGTTACACAAAACCGATGGGAGGTGATTCGAAAATCGCCAAGTTCAAGCGCGCAGGCTTGCAGTGGCTCATAAACACCAGGTTTTCTTCTACCCAGATTACTTGCCCAAAGTGTCAGTGGTCCTAATCGAGATTAATGAACCATCTGAGCAAACGAAATATCGGTGGTATGAATTTACTTGAGATATCCGTCGATATGTTTGTTTGTCTGTCGTGAAACTGATCGGATTATGCAAACTTACTGTTCCAAGTTGTCCGTTGCGTTCCAAAACCTGGGAATAAGAAGAAAAGTCCAATGCTATGGTACAACTTATAACAGCGTGATAATGTATGAGTAAATATAAAATATAAAACATAGACGATAATTGAAAGTGCGTTTTAGTGCACATTTGCTTGATAAAAATTAGATAACAATATACACTTAGGTTGATCGTCTTCCTAGTTGAATGCAACCGTTACACTAGTTAGAATTCCATTTTCTGTCTGGGTAATGAAAACGAGGTGCTAGTGGATTTAATCTCTGTTCCTAACATGTGTATGAGTGCGTTCAAAACGTCCTAGCACAACTTCCAGCCTCGTGGGTAGGATTTTGTCCGCTGACACCCCGCGATCTCCGATTAGTGATCCCCCAGGTAAGGGGTTATCGCGCCAGAACATAATGTATACGTGACGATGGAATGCAGTTGATCATCGTTCGGCTTGAGTATTTCTGATAAAGTTGACCTTGAAAACCATTGTTTTTAACTTCATTAAAGAATTTTCTCAAATCAAACAACCTTTTAGCCTGTCGATCCTGAAGATAGCCCCTGTCTGGGAACATCAAAATCGCGGTATCTGGTGGAGTGGATATCAGCTGGCTGTGGTGATAATTTGCACAAAAATTTGCAACCATTTCTTTCCGCTGGTTTACACACATGAGTTTCTAAATTCATGTGAGTAACGGAGGATTTCTAATTCGGCCTAGTACAGTGACGAACAGATGCACGAGGTTCTACCCCGGGGAATATCGGCCGGAACAGTGCGGACGAACTTATCATGCGCTCGGCGAATATCTCGAGTCACATTTTGTACATTAGAGGCTATTAGGACCCTTTCTGTCTGATATGGAGTATAAGTACTAAACCAGCACAGTGCAGCGTTCCCTAAATGAAATTCATAAATTTGTGACAGCCTGCATTCACTCATACCCACTCCTGGTCTAGAGGAGAAAGACTTTATTCCCTTTTCCGGATTTCTTCAATCTCTCTCTCGTTTCCATGAGATTTCCAAGACTGTTTTGACTGATTGCGTTGTGTGCAAACCTTTTGATTCGTGGGATAGATTTATCAGCAATATACTGTCAAATGAAAAACTCTCTGCCCACATGCCCATCTCAATAAATCGGTGTCTCATCCGTGTACGCGTTGGAAATTTCACATTCTTCGTGGGCATACCATCACATACCGAAATAGCATCATCTCTTATTTTGCCCATATCTTAGTCAACCGAACAACTAACGTCAGTCACGTGCTAAATCGCCTATCACATTAGGTTTGAGCATATCCATCCGTTTTTTACTTAATTAGTCTTATCACTTATTAATATTCATTGTAACTTGTCGAAAGTACCTAAGATTCACCGTAATGGATTCACAAGCTTATGTTGACTTGGCTTGATCCTAGAACAGCCGGGAAATCTACCATCTTCGAACTGCCAATAAAGTCAAACTTTATTGCACCCGATTAACCTAGTGAACGTTATGAACAGTATTCTAATGTCAAATTACCAATTTTTGGTGCCACAGAATCACTTCGACCAAACACAATGCACAGTGCAATGCACTGATCGCCTGAATTCAAAGTGCTTGTCAGTGGTGGAACTGGGATTTACATTACACGCACCCCCTGGTATTTGCTCTGATACCAATCTCTGAGTGTAGGTAGGCACAGGAAGCCCGCCTGCCCGATCCAGGGCGTGAAATTGAGACACCAATCGAGATCGTCGGTGATTAATCCGAGTATCACCACCGAAAACGTGTTTCGAATCCTACCCCCCGGACTGTCTGACTTTGCCCACTAGCACCACCACCACCACCATTGCATGTTACATGGCGGACCTTTGATTGACCGTTTTTCCCTTCCTGAAAACTGTATCATTGTGTATTATTCAATAAAAAGAATTCCAACAATGAGAAAGGACTGACGTTGTTGTCCGTGTTTACATATATGAGGTGTTAATCTTTGCAAAGTGAACTGTGATTAGATAGTTGAGTTGCATGCATACGTGAAACTCGCAGTATCACTAAGCATTACAAATGGCGATTCATTGATCTAGTTTTGATTAAAACGCCTGGCATTGTTTGATGACAGGCCGAAATTGCGTGCATTTACCTCTCTCATACGATTGGCTGTGCCCTTGAGAGTTACGTGTCACCACCCAACTGGATGAATCTTGTCTGCCACTGCTGCTTGCATGTGGCTGACACCCTGTGATTACGAGATGCATTTCCACACAGTCGAGTGCTGCTTCAGTCTCTCTTGACCCACCTATATCGTAAAATGTCCCATAGACTGTCCTAACCCAGATTCCCCACGAATCAATGGTTGTTATTTTTTGCCCTGTTATTAGTTGATATCGGCTGATACCAGTAGTAACGGATCCCAAGACAGTCTTATTTTTCGCCACTAGGTTGGATTGGAGTCTCATCGCATCCCCTTACTCGTCAGGTTTAGTAAGGGAAGACGGTCCTTCGAATTCCACACGAAAGGAATAAACAAGTTATAAATCATAATGAGTAGTATATGAATTACCAGACAAAATTTCCCAGAAGCACACAACCCGTATGGCGGTCGTAGCCGTTCGTCAGGTGTGCGAATCCGATACTGTTCTAGCTGGTCATTCATATATTATAAATTACAAACTAATGAAAATCGGCCCTGGCGTCCAGTTGCTTAGGTTCAGACTCATCTAACCCACAACAATTAGAACAGAATCATCGCACTGATTCCTCGGAACTTGTTCGTCCCGAATTCACTCTCCGAGTTGTAAATGAGATTTGCGTTGCGTAAGTTACAGACTATTGTGCTCACGAGTTGTAGAAAGTTGAAGTAGGACGGTAAATTGAATCGGGACGTCGGCTGAACGTGTTTCCAGATCCAACTCTCCAAATGATATTATTTGCCTAGAATGATGGTGATTGAAAGAAGATCAAACTTGACTTGTCTTCAATCGTAGCAAGACAATGAGGAAAAGGCTTTGTCGATGGACTAAACCGAACAAGGGTACTTGACTGTCACTCAAAATAAAGCATTGGTATCAACCGCACAACCCGCCCAGCCTCTGTAGTTCTGAAAAGGTACAGTCGGATTGCGTTGTTATTTGATTTTCTAATTTCCTGAATAAGCTATCACTACTTCATAAGCTTTTGGGAGATGTGAGTCATAGAACTGGGTCAGGAACAGCCCGGACTGGACTAGAACCGGTCGTGGGTTCTCCGATCGACCGATTTTCGTTGTTCAAACGAAACATCGAAGCTTATCATGGACTGCAGCATCGAATCACCGCACGGGAAATCGATTCGTTATGTTAGTTGGAAACGAACAGTCACTTGTAGTATATTTCTTTTTTATCCTGAGTTTATCTTAACTAATCTCTCGAGGAGACATTTTTGGAGGTTACCATATTAATTCAACTCAGCCTAATTGACAGTAGACGAAAAAATGTATAGAACTTTCCGTATCATCGGGTACAAATGATTTTTAGAGGACGAATTTGGAGGTTAGAATTGGGTGGCGGGAAATTTCACAATACTGATGAGTATTTAGCCACTTAAAGCGAGGGTGTTTGTGATGAATATTGATATGATTGAAATACCATATCTAGTATTGGCCCTTCTTACTTCTCCGTTCTACTAATAACACTGTATGTTTTGGGAATCTTGTTCAACATGTCATCGCAGGGTTTTTTCACCTGTATTTACGCACCTTGTGTGGCACAGTGAAATATATCGAGCACCTAATCCAATTTCTGGGTTTGATTATATGAGTATATCTGTCATGTTCACTTGCATGATGTCAAAACTGTTAAAAGTAAACATGTGTTTGTGAAATTTGAAGCAGTCCGTTTTGATGAACAGCCATGGAAAGTAGTATACACACCGACACCGATAGGACTAACAAGAAACAACACATGTGGGATTAGCACAGTGACCTGAATGGTTCCGTGTCTCTCTCTCTTTGTGTGTGTATGAATACCAATAGGCTGAAAATCCGTAACCTATCTCGGTCTGAAATAAATTCCGATTGAATCGCATATCCCCTGGAAATATCCTCTGGAAATTTCATAAGGATCACAAGTACGCTGTTTGAACCACACATTCATATCAACCTCCAGCATCCGGCACCATCAACTTACCAAGGCTGTGGTTGGACTGATTCCAGTGCATTGGTCCGTCAAACCGGAACAATAACAGGCTTGGCAACCTTCCGGATTGTTCGCGTCCAAATTGAAATGTCCTGGTTGACATTGACGACAATTGGACTCGGGGTTCACATTAACCTGACAGACGATATGTGATAACCAGGAGTCATGCAAAAGACATGAAAAACTTGGTGTTAGATTCTTCCAGGTGTACACAAATGTGACAAATCTGTAAGCGATTTTTATTAGGTGTAAAATAATTAGCACTTGTGGAAGCACACGATCGGTTTCACGAATTTGCCGCTCATTGAGTATGTTTATCAATTGATTGTCTGTATACTAATGGCCTGTATTTCGACACCGTAACCAGTTTACATCCCAAGATGTACTGCTATAAATGAACACTTTTTGAGGCGTCTACATCTGAACCATTGCTTTGATTCTACAGTCAGTGAATTGAAGAAATGCAAACAATTTGGACAAACCGAACTCAAAAGCCTATTTCTCTTTATTGGAGAATAAATTTTATTCACAATTGGAGAAAATCACGAAACCGGCAGTGTGTTACCACGGAAATTTCCTCCAATCTTTCTGGCACCAGTTCGTTTGCGATAAGCATAAACACATAGCTGTCCCTTGCCAAATCGCTATTGACTTGATACATATTCCCTGCTTCGCGGGGGCTTGTTTTGTATGTGCCAAATTATATTTCGCAGGATTTCGCATTATATATGTGTACCAAACATTTACAATTTTGAATATTTTGCCTAAAAGTTTAAAGTAACTAAGAACGAAAAAGTATAATTCGAATATAAGAATTATTAAGTCGAAATAAAATACGACATATTTTATCAAAGAACTTATATTTACTCTAATACGAACAGTATCACCTGTTCCCCATAATTGTGTTCATCATTGAGGCGATAAGAGATTGATTACCTCTAAGACTCTACCGTTAAATGAAAGTGGTGACCCAGACCGAAAATACTGTACCATGTGACCAGGCCCCGGTTGAAGTGTGGCCGTCGGGAAAACTAAAAATATCCTGTTGATTTTGATGAGTTCTCCGAGCTAGAGAAGTTATTTGCAAATGTTTCGCAGCCAGGTTAGATACCACCACTTCGGGGAAAAATCAGTGATCAATGTGATCGAGTCTAATTAGTTCCGTCCAACAACTCTGATTGGCTGTTTGTGTCCTCTCAATCCATTTGGTCAATTGAGACCGGTTGGCTGGTTTATTTTTACGGTGATCCCCCATTTTGTTCATTGATTGATTTGCATTCTTGGTCCAACTCGTCTTGGCTACACAGTGCATTCATCCCCTTTCCAACAGCTATGTATATAATGCAAGATTTTCACCATTCAAGTTTTTGTACATTTCACCGGTGAGTACTGGAAAAGGATTCCTCGCTGATAGAAAATCCGAAGGATGCCATAGCGGCAATGTTAAGGGCACATTCCAGTCAACAACAGCACTGGTACCCCTATAGCAAACAATCTGATAAAACTGTAAAACTGATCAGCTGATTATTGCACATTGAATAATACACTCATTCAAGCATTCCCCTTTCCTACAGATGTTGCATGGGTAATTTAATGGACTGCACAGCTAATATTGAAATTACAGGAAGATATGTCAACTTAATTCAGTAGTGTGATGAAGTTATTAAAAATGTATCAATTCGTAACATTTGTAAAATCAACAACCAGAAAAACCTATGTGTGACTGATAGCATAACTATATTAGTTAAGCAGAACCAACCGATCGGTATTCACGTTTAGTTAGATATCACCTTATAGGATTCAAACTGGAACTGAAAGCAAGATTTGTTTAGTTTAGATCCCTGTCCACATCGCAAATACCAATTGTTCGACTGCCATACATTTGGAATACAGTGCGAGCAGTTGGAAGTGTATTTTTTAGGGGGGGGGGGTTACACCGATTCCGGTTACTCACTTTGCAATTACACGGTGGTTCACATTGATAACTTCCTCCACGATGACTGCCACGCACATCGCATGCACAAGGCACACAGCGTCGTGAATCGGTCCTCGCGCGTCGATAGCCCTCGGCGCACTGATCACATCGCTTCCCGGTAAAGCCTTCTTTGCAGATACAATCGCCCGGATACTAAACGCAAGCACGGAACGTCATGTGAAGAAAATTCGGGAAAGGAACAAGATGAATCGAAGCATGGCACTGATTGTTTTCTTTGATTACAGTTCAAAACAATCCCTCCGATATGGAGCCCAAGAGTATGCTGGCACCAATATTTCCTCTTATTAAAAATTAATAGTTAATCTATAAACTCCAGCGTATATAGAAGCTGAAACCAGTTACGATAAATCAACAGGGTTTTTAAAATAGATTTGAAAGTAAAAATGAATGACTTATTTGGGGAAGAAAAAAGATACGAGTAGTGTTACGACAGGAAAATGCAAAGTTTGAAGTACATGGATACGAAAGGGACAGCGGGACAAACTGCCCATCTCGTTGTTCGTTTCGAAGAAAAAGCAGATTAATTTTTCTCAGTAGGACCAATGACTCTTCTAATTGTAAGTGAGCCATATTTATTCCGTCAATCATCAGGTAGGTCGTGTTTTTCTATCTTCGCGATCCTTGGAGCTTGAAAACACACTTTCTGGTTCTCCATCCCTCATTGACTCCCTTATGTCGGTTGTCAGTTTCCGCTTACCAAGTCTATTATCGTGAACTCCAGTTGGAAATAAGAACAATTTCGAGAATACCATTTTCGGACAAACCCCGTGTTTTCTCAAATTTTAGGGGATGGAATTCTGGGAAGATCGGCTGATTAGTGCTCTATTCATTTCTCTCACGCATGCTACTCGTCATGTTTCAAATACACCAAGAACCAAAACCGTAGACAAACAGACATGACACAACAGATTTTATTGATTTAACTCATTGGAACATTCTGTTCCTTGCTGGGATCGATTTTTTTCCCCAGTATTCTTGCCCATCCATGTCCCAGGATTTCATCGTTTACCGTCAGACGCAAATTAATACTTTGCTCAAAGGAATTTTAGAGGAACGGTAAGGTAGGAGAATCGTCCACAGTAATCATAAAAAAGCAAGCCAGTTAGCAACAAAGTTATGTATGAAAATTGTGATGAGTAATCATTTTGGTAGCTAATATTTTACCCTAATAAACATAGTTCGCAAACTGGATGTTCTGAATGAGGTTGTTTAATTTTACCATGCTAGTTATGCTACTCATGAGTAACAAAACCAGTGTAGAAAATAAATGTATTTTGCCAAATTACGTTCCAGCAAAGAAAAATCCCTTATTAATTATCCAATACAGTTTATTTTTGGAAAATATTCGAAAAGAATTTTCAGAGCCTCATGGAAATATAAATTTATGGATCTATTAATTAAAATTTTATTTGTAGGTAGTCATTTCAGATACCATCATTTCATCCTGTTCTGGGATATCGTCTAATTATCACTCCCTCCCTGCCTCCCCCCCCTCGAAATTTGGGCTAAAGTTCTTGAAAATTATTTACATGCAGAGTGTGTTCTCGTTTAGTGGTCAAAATTTCCCGCAATAGATTGTTCATCCATGTATATTACTTGTAGTGTATCGTAGGTCAAATCTGATAAAGTATCCATGATCTCTTCTACGCTTACACGTTTCGACCCTTATTTACGGGAATGAACATGATATTATTCTACACCAAACACAATATATTTGTACAAGTATCCATCCAATTTGTTGCCTCTATTAGACAAATGCCGTTGATTTTCAGTGTTAACTTTGAACTACCATAAATTTTAGCACGATATTTAAGGTTGCACTCATTCAGATATTGATATACGAGAATAGAGAATGCTGCGGTGGGAGATAAAGTTTGGAATGAACGCTACTTACCTGTCGCTGTCGATATATCTATATATACATATGTTTATGGTGAACATAAAAATCATATTTTATAAAGCAAATGACATGAATAAGGTCTATGTGAATATTATATGACTCAATATTATAACACTAAGAAAACTTTCATCAAACAATTTTTCCAAGTTGATGATGGTTTGTTTGCTCGTTCCATTTGGTTCACCAATTGCAACAATATGGAACGGAAGTAGCTTACCCGTTCGGGCACCTCAGCATCATTCGTCACACATTCTCCGGTCGAACCGTACGAGTCACATTCACACTTGACACACGGGAACGGGGACTCCGGTCTCACGTTGATTGGACGATAATAACCGGGCTTGCATTTCTCACAGTTGATCCCAGTTGTATCCTCCTGTGTGAAAGAGATCGAGTGAAGCCGTTCGCATATTAAGAACCATTGCGTAGTAGAGTGGAATGAGTGAGTTGACAGTTAGAAAGAAGAATCGAGACATTAGATAAGGCAAGATGATAACACAATGAATGAGTGTACAATATGATTGATAGCGCAGGGTTGGTAGTAACTGGAGCACTTAAACGTGGTCTACCTAAAATCCAAAATCAACCCAATTAACAGTAGTGAAACGAAACCAACTGAATCAAACGAGGACCTAATAATGTGTTCGCTAGTACGTGTCGAGTAGAATAAATTAATTAACTAATTAACTAATTACAACGCACGTTGGTTCGATCGAAATTATTGGAAAAGGTACTTACCCGGCAATCTACGCACACTCCACCACCTTCGTAAACTCCATCTTTTCGCATACTCAATCTCATATTAGCCACGGTTTGGTTGTAAACGCAACTGTCAGCTTTTCCGTTGCAATTGCATTCTGTCAATTTGAAAGGAGTAGTGAAAAGTGGATCATAGTGGTTGATAATTTTACTATTAAGAGTTATACTACTCATAAATATTTAAAATACCAAATGAAAATTGTATGTACTCTATGTACTGAGGCTTCAACGCTGCATGATGAACCACTTATTCTTGTTTTTTAAGCTTTCAAATGGATTTTGTTGTATTATTGCAACGTAAAGCATAATGAAAATTACTCTATTGAACAAAGCTAGGGTAAATTGAAATATTTGTGAGAATCACCGTGTAGAAACGGAGACACTCATTGAAACAGTACCTACGGAAGGTTCCCAACATGTAACAGATCCTTTGAAGGTGAGTGAGGCCTCGTTTCAACAGATGCTGCCATTGGGTCCTAAGGTAAAGGAGTTTTCTGGATAAACTAGTCTCTGCCTTATGGTGTGAAGGGTGCTTTCTTTCAAGTGAAAAGCTCGTGTCTGAGGCTTCAACCGGGTTGAAAAACTACGATACCACAACTCGTAAGATAAGACTCATAAAACAGCTCTGAATACCTTGTCAGTTATGACTACAGCTCTATTGGATACCCTAGACATTGAAACCATGTCTCAAGAACTTAGAATGAGACCGACTACTCACCAACTCCCAAAAGACTACGACATTTCCACGACATTGGACCACTTTAAGACTCTTTGGCTAGATAAAGGTTATGGTTATGAATTACTAGGGAAAATCACTCATTCTAAGTTAGGCGCCAAAGCAAAATTGCTCCGAAATTATTGTATGCACTGGTTTCATTGTCCTTAGGATTCAAGCACCGTGATTTGTTTAACACACTCTCGGAATCCCGACAAGTGACACACATAGAATGGCAGTGTGATTCACTCATATGCTAAAAACGTCTTCGGTTAGCGCAGCTGTACACTATTGGATATATCTACAGTTCATTGATCGCTTAGGTGATTTTTTGTGGGTAAGTAGATAATGATACCCGGAATAATTGTTTCATGATCAATGACGATTCCTGAGGTAGTCTATTTTCTTCTATCTAACTATCTCTCAAATGTGAATCTATTCATGAGTACCAGGTACAAACAATTAACATTTTAAAAACCTGGCACTCGAGCTTCCGAAACTTTTTGAATATCAAATATTCAGTTCCGCGCACTTTGAACTAATGGAATCTACTGATCGATATACACGCCAAATTATAAACCGCGATGATTTTTCTGTGCTTTTGTGTTCTGAATGCGGTCATTAGAGCGCTTACCAACTTTCAAGTACTTTTCATAGTCTGCTGACCAAACTGATTGTCCCACAGTGGCAACAAACGGATTCCCACTCACCTTCACAAACCCGACCCGGGCGCCATAATTGTTGATTGAACAGGGGGCAGCATATTTCACAATTACTACCGCATGTGTTGTGTTGACACAGACAGATTGCTCGAGGAACACCCTGGATAAAAAATGTTGAATTGTGAGAAAGGGAGCAGAGAGAAGTGGAAATAGTATGGTGCTGGCAAGTGATCTGGAGGTGAAAAAATGTAAAAGGGTATATCTTGATCTCTAGCATGTTTGACTCCGACTACGGAACGTGCAACCACTCGGTTTTCCTAAGAACAACATGATTTATTATCGTGGTGGTGGTGATTGTGGTAGTGGTGGTTGTGACGGTGGTGGTGATTGTGGTAGTGGTGGTTGTGACGGTGGTGGTGATTGTGGTGGTGGTGATGGTGGTGGTGGTGATGGTGGTGGTGGTGGTGATTGTGGTAGTGGTGGTTGTGACGGTGGTGGTGATTGTGG